CAGTGCAGAAGACCTATCAGCTCAGAGAAGGACGGAGGAGGAAGGACGTAAGACGGGAAGACCCCCTTGCAAATGAGCGACCGGACGGCCAGCCGGAGCAGAGCGGCGGGGCGCATCAGCCCACGCGAGTGCCACGCGATCCCTGACAGGCGGCGGAGCACGGTCCGAGGGCTTCCCTGGCATTTCCGCAGCTTCGCTGTCCATTACTCAACAACCGAATTAGAGGAAAGCACCCCAACCTCAACAAGCACCCTCCAGGACGGCGGTGAGATCTACTGGGCCCGGTTGCGGACTGTTGGTTGTTGGGAGGACCGCAGGGTTTGTGACACCTGCTTGGGTCCCGGATAGCCAATGGAACTGCGCGTAGGCGACAGGTGCGAGTATTGGGCGGCAGGCATGAAATCGCATTGAAGAGGGAGCTCTCGTTGGGAGAGCGTATTTCGGGGCACGTCAGGCCATCCGCGACGCTTCCATCATTGAGTTCGGCGAATTTTGGGCGGGTAAAATGCGATTCCGCAAGTGTGTTCCAGAGTCTGCGTTTTGTGCATATTTCAAGTATTTTCGGACCTGGGGCTCGCTTGCGGGGGGACACGTTGCCGCGGCCATTGGGCCGGCATTCTTGAGCAATGCTGGGTGTTCCCAGTCCGGAGCGAGTTCGACCGGACGAATTCACAGTTATAAATGTGTTTACATCTCCCCCAAACCGCTCGGCATCATCATGAATATGATCCCATCAACACGGCAAGTCCATCAATCGTTGTGATCTGCCTTGGAAATTTCATTTTGGTCCTGCAGATGCTTCATAAAATAGGTGAATAGTGCTATAAATTGTAATTTGTGCTATTAAACAATTCTACTGACTTGTTAGAAACATTTGGTGGCAGCCAATCATAGCCACTGTTTAAAGCTGAATTTTACCGTAGGTTCTGTTTGAAGTCGTTCTACTGAAAGGATAATTTCCTGGGAGCCATAGGCACCCCTTAATTACATTCAAAAGGTGTGCTGTACCTCCCTGAGTCCTTAATAGCTTAGCAATGGCAAAAAATGAGGACGGACATCTAAATTTATAATGGTTGAGCTGGGCTGACTCGGAGCTAAGTACATACGTTATTTATTACATTCCTTCCTTCCTACCCTGACATTGATTTTACATAAACTGTTGGAACAATTAGAATTCTTGAGAGGCAATAAGACGGCGTCGTGTGTCTATCAGCTTCAGTGACGAGAAGGGAGGAAGGGGCCGGAACGTGGGGATTTGGGTGCTGTAATTTAAATGACAGTTGTAGACCTATGAATTATATTATGGAGGCGCAGCAAACGTTGGTACTTATGTGAAATATCAATAGTAAGGCGGTGCGAGCACTGCGAGGAGTGCTAGCGTGATGGCTAAGAGTAGGCGAGGTCGGTAGCGCGGGTACGGGGCTTTTTTAAACGTCGTTGGGCATACGGGTCGAATATTCGGGCGAGGCGTATACGTAGGGTGGTCCGACCGAGCGATCCCAGATCCTAGTGAGATGAGTTCGAACGAAAAAAAGTGAATCATTATATATACTTACATCGCGGGGAAGGGACACAAAGCGGGTTTATTTGCAGCTGTTGTAAATGTGCAACCGTCATTGAAACGGCCCTGCATGTGCGCCAAGAGATTCCCAGTACCATGAGCGTTGTAACTGTCGATCTTGAGTTGAAATATGACCCACTCAATAAAGTAGGCCATGTTCATCGATATCGTTCATCGCCGACCCGTAATTCTTGTTTTGTTTCAACCACTCATTTGACTACCATTAAATATTGGGGTAAATAGGAATACGACCCAGTAGTGTAATAGAAAACACATCAGTTTTATGAAGGTACACGTCACCAACCGAGTACAACACCCACATAGATGAACAGACGAATAGACAATATACTCCTTCCTCCTTAAAAAGATAGGATACCGAGCGTCCCAGCTTTCAATACTTTGACTTGAAGTCTGCCAGCCATCCCTTCACGAAATCAACCTCCTGTTGATGTATAGCTTGTATCTCAGGTGGCTCTTGGCTATGATCCGCCAATCCGTTTTCGTCGTAGTGATGGACAGCATCTAGAGAGAAGTCGTCTGAATACTCGCAAAGATGAAGAGAACAGAAGAACGAACTGGGTATTAGCTTGAAGGGCCTTAATGGCGTATCCTCCCTGAATTCGGTGGGACCGATGAAACTGTGAGGGCAGTCGAAGCGCCAAGGGTCAACTACGAGGAAAATTGATGAACACAAGCAGAAAATTTGAGGATAAAAACTTACCCTCGCCATCGATGATGGCTAACCGGTCATGAGCGATATTAAACCCGCCGAGCTTGTTGACGTCTTCGATATTAGGCAGCGGTGGTACTTGGAAAAAATCTCCAGGAGGATATGCTTGTTTGCAGATCTTGGAAGAGTAGTCGACGTCGACAAATTTGGATAGCATGCTCGGGATGGAATGGTCCGGAGGGGGTGACTGTTGAAAGTCGATCAGAAACCTGACCTTCGCCATGGCGCGAGGTCGAACTTACATCGAAAAATGCCCATTGGGTACAAACTTGAAACTGCCATAGTCTCCATGTCTGGGAAAGATCCGTCCGTTGAAGGTCTGTATCGTTCGAGGTTCCAAAACACTAATAGAAAAAGCTCAGAGAGAATTAGAGCTGCCTCATGGTTTTGACCTCGTCTGATGTAGAAGTCTTGGGGCATCTGCTTGAAGTCTGAAAAAGTCATAAATGACCACATTCGCAAATACTTCACAAATCGATTTTCACCTTATTGACAATGGTGGCAAGATTCCACGTCGCATTGCTAACAGTAATGCCTTGGAATGTGTCAATTTTTGCATTACTGGGATTTCCCATGGCGACACAATTGTTCGAAAATGAGTTGCTATTGACTGCTGGATCCCAGTTTTTGCTTTGCCACGCTCCCAGAGGGCCCTGCATTGCCAAAACACCGATAAGAGGCAATGCTTCGGTGACGGCGCTAGCTCACAGCAAAGAAAGAGGTCAAATCAGCTTCCAGCGTCAATCCCGGCATTCCGAAGAAGCTCTTGACTTTAGAATTCGTCTCTGGGTTGGAGAGGAGGTTATCTACTTCCTTCACAGCGGTAATGAATTGAGCGGAACAGTTGGCTGGTGCAGCTCTGCGGATGATGTCATAATAACCCCAGTTACTTATAGCGGCTTCAGTAACTCCACTCGAGGCTATGGATCCGAAGACGATGTCTGGGTAGAGGACTTTCATGTGGGCGGAACGTGCTCCAGCGTAGGAACCCTTATCGTAATTTCATCATTTCTTTGATGTGTTGCAATGAGAAAATACTCACACCATAGTAAATCCAAGGCGTATGTGGAGCGGTGAGGTCCTCCGGAATTCCAGCGAACTTGACATTGGTCATGAAGTTTGCGGAATCGGCGGCTGCTTGCTCGTTATTGAGCCAGCTGGATATAAATTATGCCCATAAATCTAAGTCTGTACACGAAAAAGCATACCGTAGCGAGTCAGTCGTGAAGTTTTTGACCGGGACAGATACTCCTGAGAAGATATATAAACCAATAAATTCTATATTGACCTGTAACAGATGTCAAAGAACGCACCGTAGTACCTATGCTCCAAAATTACACCCAGTCCATTCGTTGCATTCGCTAAAATATCCACGATCCCGGTGTCAAGAAAAGGTAACCTATCCGTCACGCTCGTCTCTCCACCGTCCAGAACGATAACCGGTCCACCAGGCTTATAATGTCGAGAGTTGACAAAGTATCGCTGGTTCCAAGTAAAGCCAGTATTGGTGAAATGGTCCAAAGGTTGTGTGAAATTAAAAACGGGAAAAGAAGTGGTTTGTCGCTTTGCAATTGGAGTCACAGTTGGGCTTGATACCCTATTCAGCCGATCAAGGCGCTCGAGACGGTGATCGATGAGAGTTTGTAATGTGGGTTTGAAAGCGGAAACGGAGGCGCAGAGGATTGGAACCAGGGAGAACAAGATCAGCTTCAGATTCATGGTGGTGATGGATCACTGCTGATCGGTGTTGAGGGTGTCTACAGAGACGGCTGGCACCACGTCGTCCTATATATCTTCTCCTTTAAACATATGGTGCCCTCCGATTGGGTTCTATCAATACAGAAAGAAGAAAAGAAGCACCAGCATGCGGATGGGTATCGTTGATCGACTCGGAGAATTGGTGCAGCCACTGAGCGAGGATTAGTCCATCGTGACGAAACTAATAGTACGCTGTACAGGATAAGCGGAACTAAAGAGCATTTCGCTCTTTGAATGGACTTATCAGCCCAAAAAGATGGAACTTACCCACAGCCATATGGCGAGCCGAGTCTGGCCGCCTCTATCCGTCTGGAACAATTGTATTCCTGGACTGCCACCCGTGCCCGTGACGAGAACGGCCATCGATCTGACGGGCAAGCGACGGACACGGCTGACCTTCGAGAACTTCTGACAGCCTGACGGAATGGAATCTGCACTTGCCGTGGTGCTTGCTGGAAGTCCGAAGTGGTGACCACCAACGTTAGCCATAGAACATGGGCGGTGTCTTGGCGTAGATTTATCGAGAGCGCGCGACTGATAGCGGCGGCTGGGTCTTGTTTTTCTTTTAAAAATACCAATTCTTGTAGTCATTTTCCGGTGCCAGCGGGGCTGAGGTAGCAATTCATCTTCATCTTCGTCCTTGTTCCGCATGCCCATAGTCCCCCGGAACTGCACTTCTTCCTGCATTTCCCATGTAAAGTTTGCAAAGTTCAATAAATCATCCATTCCCCTTTCTCCCATCTCATTCCATCCAATATTATATAGATATCGACCCAGTGGTGTAATGCTCAATACGCCAGCTTTCATTGTGGCCATGAACAGTTGCGTAAGCTGGAGCTCTCCGTTCGACTCAGGGCTGGGTCATCGGAGGGTCATTCCAATCTTTTTTTTCAACTTAATTATTTCGACATTTGGACCCGCACGTGGCATGGACCTGTGGTCCTATACTAAGACTCGGTGGTGTAATGGCTAACATACCAGCTGTTACTGTGATATAGTCATTATGGTAGGCTGAAGCTTCCCGTTCGACTCGGGGCTGGGTCATCCATATTTTTTTATCGAACTTCTATTTATTTCGACTTGGTCTTACTTCTCACAATTGTAGCATTTAAATACGACCCAGCGGTGTAATGGTTAACAAGCCAGCTGTGACTATAGCAAGTTTCACCATCCTTGCGCTGGAGATCTCCGTTCGATTCGGGGCTGGGTCGACTTTCTTTTTTGTTTTATTCATTTATTCTATCTGTTTCTCGTGGGCAAGCCGTTATGGTCCTAGATGTGCGAGATGAGCAGGAGCGCCTGTCATGCATGTGAGCGCACAATGTCGGATTTGGGGGTGTGTGCACACCGGGGGCGCAAATCAAGCAACCCCTCCAGACCCGGTCGAATAATGATCGCGAACAGCGAACGAGCACCAGCAAATAACAATAATATATCTATTGCAACTGCAATTCCTGTAGCGTAGCGTATGTGGTGGGTAGCGGGTACAGTTTGTAAGTATGAGTGGATGCGGGGAGAGAGGGATGGATAAATATACGACGTACGACGCGCGCCCGCCGCACGAGCACGCGCGCACCCAGAGCCCAGAACCCAGAGGAAAGGATATATATGGCGCGCAGGACCCACGATGCGGCGCGCACGACGATGACGCTCGCTACGCCCGCCACGCTCACTCCAGCCCCAGCGCCAACGCGCTCTGCTGGCGCTCCTCCGGCTCGCGTATGCACCGCTTCACCGCAGCCGCCTCCTTCCCGCCCTTGCTCCCCACGCCGATGCGCTCCACAGCGTCTGCGCCCGACGCAGCTCGGCCGCGAGGTACGCCTGGCGCGCGGCGGGCGAGGACCCCGCGGCCGGGGGCGCGGGGCCCGAGAACAGCTGGGGCCATGCGTCGCCGCTACCGTTATTGCTGGTGTTATTATTATTGCTGTTATTGTTGTCCGTGCTGTTCATGGGCGGGTACCCCGCCAGCTCGACCGCCATGCGATCCATCGTGGCGGTGGTGCTGGTGTTTTGAATGTGGGTGCAGGCCCAGGCCCGCCGAGGGTAAGGGTCGGAGGTGGTGCTCGCGCCGGCGCGCGCGGCGTAGGAGGAGGCGGACGAGGGCGAGGGCGACGATGCCTGCGATGGCGGCGACGGACACGCCGACGATGAGCTCCACGGGCGCGTCGTGCTCGTCGTCTGGCTTGAGGCCCTGCGGCTGGCCCGACTCCAACTTCATTAGATTTCCATACTGCCAAGAAAAGAAGACAGACCTGGGCGCATCCGTCTCGATGGCGGTATCGGGCGGGGCGTCCGTGGGCGGGAGGTCGACGGTGCGCACGACGGGCGGCGCGGTCAGAATAATGGCGGACGCGGTTCAGGGACTCAGCCCGAGGTCAAGACGCGGAGCGAGGGCCCAAGAGGGTGCAAGGCCCAGGGAGAGACATACCCGGGCGTCACGGTGAGTCGGTGACAAGTGGCAACAGGGTCAATCAACGCCGTTGCACAGCAGCCGCAAATAAACGACGTCCAGATCCACTGACAGGCCGCCTCTGCCCTTGTCTACCCGGCGTCTTAAAAAACCCCTCAAGGCTCACCGCGTGACCGTCCTGGCCTGCCGCCTATTCTTAACAAGCAATTTTCCCGGTTCCGCGCGCGTCGTTGCATCCTTAGCGCCGTCATCTCACGTAAAACGCCAGCTGCGCGTTTCGTCCAATACATTATGTGGATGCACCTCCCGCATATATGTGCAAGATTTATGCCACCTTCCGTTCCATCCGCCGCAACATAACATAACATCCAACGAATCAGTCTCCGGCTCTACCTACACACCCAAATAAGTACCCACGTGCCCGCCTTGCTTCCTTCCTTCCTTCCCGTCCCTGACACTGACATCCGCCAACAGACACGCGACACCGTCCATAAGCGTGCGATACAAATCCAGTTCCAAATATTTATTTGATGTGATGTGACTCACCCTCGTCGTTCTCCAGAGCCGTCTTTGAATATACTTGCAGCTTTGACCGCGCTATTGGTTGAATAGTGATCAAACGCGCTTTTTTTTTCGTTGGTTGAATGGTGATTGCCGCCCGCACGAATATACGGCCGCACGGAGTTGACGTCCGGACGAGCGATACGAGGCGGAGCATAAATACTCTTATAAATAAAACGCAGATTTGTGCTGGTCTCATATACCCAGGGCTGAAGGGAGGGAATGGAAAGGTCTGGCAGCGTATTAGTAACCGCACGAAATATACATGTACATACTTACTCGCCTGTGCAGACCGGCTTTTGATGCTGGTCAGTCAATATTCTCGCGACGAACCCTTTAACTAACAGCGCGGCATCGGACATTCCTTTGTAAAAAAAAAAAGAGCGCGACCCACCCCGCCCAACGCGAGCACGCGTACTTCATGTACGTATATATATACGACACCGAGTCGCGTTAATAGTATGGCCATCTGGACTAGAAACAAAACCAAAAAATGAAAAAGAAACGATGACGCAGCCCCGAGTCGAACAGGGATCACCAGCTCATTTAGATTTTAACAATTAA